ACCTCTGCATGATTGATTTGAGCCTAAACAATGCACTATTACAAACACTGACAGTGGTGTCCAGCACACAGTAGGCCATTCTTTTTTTTTTTTTTTTGAGACAAAGTCTGGCTCTGTCGCCCAGGTTGGAGTGCAGTGGGGGATCTCGGCTCACTGCAACTTCCGCCTCCTGGGTTCATGCCATTCTCCTGCCTTAGCCTCTCGAGTAGCTGGGACTACAGGCACCCACCACCACGCACGGCTAATTTTTTGTATTTTTAGTAGAAATGGGGTTTCACTGTGTTCACCAGGATGGTCTTGATCTCCTGACCTTGTGATCCACCCGCCTCGGCCTCCCAAAGTGCTGGGATTACAGGCGTGAGCCACCGCGCCCGGCTAGTAGGCGATTCTTAAACTGTAGCTATAATTACTATGATGATTATCCTCTCTATTTTCACTTTTGAAAAACTGTTCTTTCAAACTATTATTACGTGATATGTAGTTTTTAAAAATTTTTATTCAGAGCTACTCTGCCTTTAGGACTGAAATCTAGACAACAATGGGTTTAAATCAGTATTATGTGAAACAACCTTCAAATGAACAAAGGAGATTTAGCAGTGTGCCCTATCATTTATCAGGTGAGAAAAAAAAAAAAGTGTGAAATATCACCTCTCACCTCTGCAGAAGGCTTTCTATATTTTATGTTTTGTTTTTACTGTGTATGGTTTTCTGCGTGGCCTCCTTTGAGACAGACCACAATATTCTCTGGGGTCAGAGGCTCTATTCCTAGAAAAGAAATAATTTTTAAAAGTAATAATAATACTATGATAGGACTTATGTTGGATTTCTCCTATTTTGGCTTTGTGTGGGTGCTATGATTCTCTGTAGAATTTCTCATAGGAACTGACGAACAAAACACGGGACTGCTTTTTGTTGTACACCAAGCCTGAAACATCAGTGGCATACCAGTTAGTGGGTCAACTGCACTGAAACATGTCAGAGATCTTTTGCTCATTTGGAGGAAACAAAGTTATGAAAACTTAAGTGACTTAACACCAAGTATCTCCACCCTGCTAATCTGAAAAAGGACAAATGTCTTAATTCAGCACCATTCCTCCTTCAGATCAGAGAACTTTCTATATGCCATGCGCTGTATTGAATCCTGGGAAAATAAAGATCAGTAAGATGAGGTTTCTGCCTTTAAGGAACTCAAAGTCTAGAGGGAGAGAGAAAAACATATGAAAAAATAATTACAATTCAACTGATAGGTGATGATATGGGAGCCCAAAGAATGGAGAAATTACTTTGACTTTCACAAGACTTTATATACATGCTTATGTTTGAAGTAGGTCTTAAAGAATAATTAGATTTTCAACAAGAGAAAGGCAAATGGAGTCCTCATTGGCAAAGCTTTTACCATGTAGAATAGGTGTGGGATTACTGTCATGCCCTGTGAATATGGTTAAAATAGCTAGATTATTCACTACTATTTGGAGCCAAACGAGATACAAGAAAAAAAATATAATGTTGAGTATTGCTATCAAGTTTCAATGCTTTCTTCCAAGTGCTATGCTCAAACAAAACAATCCCACATCACTGATTCTGGTATCTTTACCAGTTGGACATGGAGCATTAAGTCCAAATGAAAACATCCCAAAGAACTCAGCCCTTGACCTTCAGTAAAGAAGAGTGTTAATGTTACCTTCTATTAATCTGATTCTGTGTCATGGAGCCAGGGATTTCAAGGTGTAGATGAAAGATATCCTATAAAAATAGGGTATTACTGTTTGTTGCTAAGTCACATGACTATCTACATTTTGAGGAGAAAGATTGTGTCTTATGTGCTATGGTAATCCCCTACATTTCTCACAGGATGTGACATCATAAATGCTTGTTGCACAAATTCCTGTTAATGGAGAATGTAAGGGCACCATGTAAAACTAAAGTGGGTCACATGGCCCATCAATTATTCTTTATTAATACCATTTTTGTTCTTTTCCTTGTCCCTAACTCCTGCCTTAATTCTGACACTATTTTTGTCTTTTCTGGTTATTTGCTGTAGGTACTTTCAGGTTCTATATGCTTTAAGAGATGTTTCCTTAACTCAGGATATGAGGTACACATTTCTGGTATTGTCCAGTTGGCATCTTGCTCTTCTGTTCTTCCCCTGCTTTATTATATGGCTTCTACCAGTGTCCTCATGTCCTTACATGCCATCTATCTTTACCCATATTCATTGGTCCAAAAATGGATACCTGGTCTATGAAAGGCTGATGAAACTGTGTCCTGGAAATTATAGATGTGAGTCTAAGCATGTCAGTTTGTATTCTGAGTCTACAATTGTTAAATGCAAAATGTGCAGAAGTCATTAAGAGACTAGTTTTTGCCATGTAGTGAAAGCTACCTATAGGGAGAGAAAAAGGGTGAAGCCCAACCAAAGAGATGTAGAGACTCAAGACTGAGAAAGTCCAGAAGAATTTTGTGTTTCCAGTTGCAGTTTCTGTGAGGCTCAGCTCTGTATCTGCCTTTCTGCGTCTTTGCTCTTCGTTGAGCCACAACAGACATATATAGGACACCTCTTGTGTACCACTTCAAATACTCTTGGCCCCAACTCTTATAAGTGGGGCAAGTTCTTTTCAAGCTTCCTTCAACCTTCTTCATGTAGGTGCAACTTGACAGCACCTTGCCTCAGCGTTGTACTTCTCACTTGCTTCTCTGACACTACACCATGGATCATGCACAGGGACCCTCTCAGTAGTCGTTCATATACAATCTAGAAGTGCAGGAGAAGTTAATGGCAGCGGGACTACCTTGATTAATAGTGAATGGAATCCAATGGATAAATGTGTGCCATTTTTTAATTCCCTAGGCAGACAGTCTTGAAACACATTTTAAAGATTCCTGCAAAGGTCTCGTGGTAAACTGCACCAGTCACCTGTGAAGTAGGAAACTTAATGATACATTCATGTATTGTCTTTCTGTCCTTCCCTCTTTTCCTCTTCCCTCTTCCTCACTCCTGCTTCCTGGGATTATATTCCAAGACAATCAACCTGCATGCAATCTAGTCTAAAAGAACACTTGCTCGTTGTTTCCCATGTTTTGTTTCAGTTGGTTCCTGCCTCTTGCTACTCAAAAACATTGTCATAATTCATACAAAGACCTGCAATGGTTCTCTCATTGCCCATAGAATAAGATCATACAAGCAACAGAACTGGATGAGAATACATGAAAATCCAAGCACAGGAAGCAGCCTACTACTTTACCAGGATTACTATTTGCCTATTCTTTGCCTGTTGTAATCTGCTCTTCTTTGCTTTTGCCTTCTCTGGCTGAAAATCCCTTAGTTCTTAATGCTTCAGCTCTCAACACTCATGCCAGGCCTTCTTTCTTTGAAGACCCATGTGTTATGCTACTGCAGGTGTGACAGTGACAATTTCTCTGGATATGGTTCTATATATATAGTTCAGCTCCATATCATACGGTGGCCAGTAAGCTAGAGACCCAAAGACTCACAAATGCCAAAGCCCCTCACCTAGCATTTCTCCCAGTGCCTAAGACATAAAAGCCACTCACCAAATATGTGCAGGATAAATTTATAAAGGTGTTGATTTCTGGGGACTTAAAAGCAAAGATTAAGGGGAAATAATCATTCATTTGATTATGCTTGAATCATTATCAATCATATAAAACATACACTGAATATATCTATACATACTTCCTTTTATTTGTATTATTAGAAGCTTAGAAAAAATTAAAGTCTTCATCAAAGCTGTATATAGATACCAAAATTTATTTCACTTTTTACTTATTATTGATGTTTTAGGTTGTTTCTAAATTTTCTTTCAAAATTAACACAGAGATAAATATTCTAAAAATAAAGCATTTATCTCTAGCTCTGTTTATTTCTGAAGGATAATTCATAGGAGTAAAATTATTTTGCTAATTACTATGGATAAATTTTTAGCAATAGGTAATGTTATCCTATATATTTTTGATTGCTACAAAGAGGCATATTGTTACAACTTTTTACTTTTTATTAGTGCTGATAAACATTTTTGTGTATTTACTAGCCCTTTAATTGGCCTTCTGTGAAACGTCTATCTATATTCTTTCCCATTGTAATTTATACTATTACTATTTTTTTACTGATTTATATATTGTCTTTCTATGTCAAGGGTATTGTCTTTTTCTATCCTTTTTGTAGCGTTACTTCTTTGTAATTGTTTTTCTTTTACTTATACTAATTTGACAGACTTATAGACATATAGAGTATTTTCCTTTGTTATTTTGATTTGTTTAATTCTTAGAGAGAGATAACCCATCCTGTCCCCAATATTTTCTTGTGTTTTTTTTTTTTTTTGATAGATTTATAGAGTAAGGGGTGGGAGAGCATTAGGACAGATACCTAATGCATGCGGGGCTTAAAACCAAGATGACGGGTTGATAGGTGCAGCACACCACCATGGCACACGTATACCTATGTAACAAAACTGTACTTTCTGTACATATATCCCAGAACTTAAAGCAGCATTTTAAAAAGCCCCACAAATTAAAAAAAGGAATAGATTTCTATTTTACATCTACCTTCTTTTCTTATCTTTATTTCATTTTATTTATGGTGAGAATTGAATATCTACCTTAATTTTTTTTTCCAAATAACTAACCAATTTTTTACACTATTTTCTAGATACTAGAAAAATATCCACTATTTATAGTGGATATTTTTTAGTGAAAATATTGGATATATTTAGTAAATATATCTATTTACTAGAGAAATATCCACTAGAAAAATAGATACCATTTTCTTTTCAGTTCTTTCTCTCATCTTGGGCCTGTTTCTAGACTATTTATTCTGTCCATCTTCCTGCCTATTTCTGTGAATGTATCCTGGTCTTTTCAACTGACACAAATTCTAAATGGATAAGGTGAGGGTACACATGATATTTTCATCTTTTCCAGATTGAGACTTTGTTTCTGCACATCTGACCACTGGACCAAAGGCTCAAAACAGGATATGTGACCTGTCCGTGTCAGGACAATAAACAGTGTCACCTGCCTGTCTATCCTGGTTCTGTGGCTGCTGGCTTCTGGTTTGTGGGCAATCAGATGAGGAATGGGCTGTGGGAGGGAGCCCATATCCACTACACTCTCAGGTTTAGCTGAAGAATCTTCATTTCCCATTCTTGGTTGCAGATCAGGTTTACATATATTCCATATGAACCTGCTATTCCAGGTCAACCCCTGGGAAGCACACTCTGAGGTGAAGATTAGCACATGGAAATTTGTTAGGGAGTACTCTACTTTTGGAAAGCTAATACTTACGGAAAAGAAGGGAAAGAAACAGCATTAGGGAGAGGGAGAAGTTGAACTGTGGTACAGTCATAATAAGAACTAAGGCAACTCCGCATAAAGCTTTGAAGCTGGGATGGCCCTTCAGAATTGTCCTGAATTGGAGCCAGGGAGCTGGACTTTGTACTACTGCATTAACCGATCATTGATAGACGGCTGCCCTAAGAAGGGGGCATGGCCTTGGAGGAGCCATGCTTTTTTATTAGAAGCTGTAGCACTGATTATACTTACAAACTAACATAAATTTGTGAGATTCATTCATTGTCATCCGTTTCTTTCTATATCGTAAGTTCCAGGAAGGAAAGGATTATTTTTCTTCTTAATTGCCATTGTAGCCTCAAGAGCATAGCAATTATTTGTTGAGTACCTGGTACATAAAAAGCACTCAATAAATACTTGTCAAATAAGTAAATGACCATAGGAGGCAATATTATCCTCATTGTCTATATTAACAATAAGGAAACTGGGACACAAAAATACAACTAATGAATGACAGAGCTAGAATTGAAAGTCACATCTGTTTGGTTCAGAGGCCATGTTCTTTTTACTATAATAATTAATCAGCTCAGGCTGCCGTAGCAAAACACCATAGGCTGGGTGGCTTGAACAACAGACATTTATTTGCTCACATTTCTGGAGACTAGAAGTCCAAGGTCAAGATGTCATCAGGGTTAGTTTCAGGGTTCTTCCTGGCTTATAGGGTCACCTTCTTACTGTCTTCTGAGATGGCCTCTTCTCTGTGTGCACACAGGAAAAGAGAGAGGGAGACAGAGAGAGAGAGAGAGAGATCTGGTGTCTCTTCCTCTTCTTATAATGACACCAGTCCTACTGAATTAAAGTCCTGCCCTTATAACATTATCTAACCTTAGTTGCCTTTTTTCAGGCTCTGTCTCCAAACACAGTCACACTGAGGGTTACAGTTTCAACATGTGAGCTTTAAGGCAGGGGACATAACTTCATGTGTAACAAATAGATTTCCAGGGCTTATTATAAAGACACAAAGATTTAGAGGAATCTATCCTAGGCAGGACTGCAGAGCTCTCCAGGGCCTCCTGAACTCCTGTTCTTAAAGTTAGGCTGCCATTTGTGTCCAATTATATAAGAAATAGAAAAAGTTGAAATGAAAGGTATGAGAATTTTTTTTAAAAATAAAAAGCAGTGCTTCAACAACTAAAAACATGTTGAGAGAAAACTATTTGGTGCTCTCCTAATTAACAGACTTCAAATCTCTGCCGGACCATAAAGCACCTTCTTAACCACACCACGTCAAATTCTGACTCATATTTTCTCATTTGAGGTATTTGAATTTTACCCTCTCTTTCTTGTATTTTGCAGTTGCCATAGTCTTCAGCCACTCATTTAATCCATTCTCCATATTTTTGCTAGTTTTCTCCTAAGAAAATAAGACCTTCTCACTGCCTCGCTAAGCTACTTTCTACAGTTTCACTTTTCCCTGCACAGTAGTTTTCAAACTACATTGTGCATCAGAATTACCTAGAAGGATCATTAAAACACAGATTGTTGGGCCCCACCTACTTCGCCAGAGTTTGTAATTCCCTAGCACTGGCTTGAGTCCGAGTATTTGCATTTCTAACTGGTTCCCAGGTAATGCTAACGCTGCTGATCCTGGGATCACACTCTGAGAACTGCTGCCTTATGGATAAGACTAATAGCAGCTCTTGCCTCTATCTGGCTCCAGTTTGCTTCTCCCAATTATCAATCTGCACTCCACTCATATCATATGCCTCACACTCCACCCGCATATTTTCTCCACACCTGAGCACTGCAGCCACTGATATACTGAATGCCTTCTTACTTGACGAAGTGTCTTTTCTACCCAACTCACATACTCCTCCTCTCTCCAGTTTTCCCTTCCTCTCTTAGGGTAGTCTAATGATAATCCCACACTGTGTTCATATCTATGTTTTATATTAATGCTTTATTTAGATTGTTTTCAAGCCTTTCTCTTTCATTAGACTATGAGGTTTAACAGCAGGAATCATACCTCACTTTTGTATTTCTGATGATTCACATACTGTCTGGCAAGAATAGCTTCTTGGCACATATTGTGTTAGTATTTAATTAAAAGTTAATTTAACTTAATTATTTGTAAAAGGGTTCAGTCATGTATGAGATATATGATCACTCTGACATCTTATAAAGTTGCTTTCATTCTGTTAGAATCTGACCAAAAACTCTACCAAGGAGCATTTCAAGTCAGGAGCTCTGCAGTCCTGCCTAGGATAGATTCCCCTAAATCTTTGTGTCTACCAAAAACTCTACCAAGGACCAAAAACTCTACCAAGGAGCATTTCTACTGCATTATTCATCAGCTCTTACATTCAACATGCCTATGCAGCTGACTTCTGTCCCAGGCTTTGCGGATCACTCTTTTGTCTAGCACCGTCCAACCTTTTCTCCGGTTTATACCTTTGCTTCTTGAGATTCAAACTAGGTTCTCTAGCTTTCTGTTCACTTGCCTCTTGGACCTCCACTTCCTACCAAAATAGCACAGCCACTTCACTTGATCTGATTTGGCTCATTGATTCCTGGATTTTGAAACCGGCTACAACCACTAGATGAATGGCCTCTCCAGCTATATTAGTGTAATCTGGAGGAAAGCCCCTGCCTGAGACGCCCTCCCTTCCCTCCCTTTTCCCTTTTCCCTAGTGCTCTTGGTCAACACATTTTCCTGACCTTGATTTATTATTGAATAATTCTTCAATTCATTCTTTGACTTATGGCTTGCAGGAGACAATGAGTATGATTTTATATTTCTGGTTTAAGCTATTTATTACTCTGAAATCATAAAAGGGAAAAAGTCTGGGCATACAAAAATAAAAAAATAAATTTTAATCACAACCCACCTGTGAAATATTGCTAATGATAGCCTCTTCAACTTACCATTAAGAGGGCAGCAGCAGATGAGTTGTCAGAAAAGATGAATGATTCAACTCTTCACTAATGAGAATGAAAGTGTTCCAATTATATAAATTGTTTGCCATGAAGATTGAATACGCTATTTACTTTCAGGGTGAAATACACCTTCTTGAACTAGTAGGTTATTTTAAATTTGTAGGTCAGGTTTAAGTATAAATAATAGTGTATTTCCCCTGTAAGCTAAATAACTTAAAAACAACAAAGAAAAACTGTCAACTTCTAGTGAACTAGATGTTGGTGACGACAGCTAAGCCACTACGTCATGTTTCAAACTACAAGTTTTAACTGTACTTGGACCAAATAAATTCACTTAGAAAGCCCTTACTCCCACGTATTATGGTATTTCTCAGTTATATAAGGAGCTTGATGTTCTTTCTTTCTCCCTCTGTGTTTTTTTTTATTTTTGTTTTTGTTTTTGTTTTTTTTGAGAAAGGCTCTCACTCTGTCGCTCAGGCTGGAGGTTAGTGGTATGAACATCACTTACTGCAGCCTTGGCCTGCTGGGCACAAGCAATTCTCCAACCTCAGCCTCCTGAGTAACTGGGACTACAGGCATGCACCACCACACCCAGCTAATTTTTTTTGTTTTGTTTTGTTTTTTGTAGAGATGGAGTCTTGCCCCATTGCCCAAGCTGATGTTATTTCTACTAGACAAAAATTCCTCATAATTTTTAATTTCAAATAACTACTGGAAACCAGAAGAATAGGTGATAATATATGGCCTGATGAACATCATTCCTTAGTGCTGAAATGATTTTCTAATTTTGATTCTTTGATCTCTTGGTCGAAGAGTGGGCCATTGTCTCAGTATTCAAAGGTATAAAGTTATCTTCTACGACAAGGGAAATAAGACAATTTTGGAATATCACTTGAAAAATGGGAGTAATAATATTCAGTAATATTCGGCTTATAGTACTGTTCTCAATACTGAATAAGAAAATAGTTATAGAATTGCTAGCCAAAGCATGGCACACAATTGGTGGCCAATAGATGTTGGATGTTTTCTAAGGGCACTTTTATGATCTGTGAATCCCAGAAGTACCTTAGGCATCCATGGGCTTACTCTCAGGAAATAGAAATAGTGATAGATGGTCATATCTTCCAAACAAATGAAGTGAATTTCTCCTTGGAGTAGTCCTGAGAAGAATGTGAGAATGTGGTAGATGCTCAGTTCCAAACTATCTGATGTTGGAGAGGAGCTGGAGAAGCTTGGCACCTTGGAGAATATGCATTTTCCATTATACAAAACAGAATCACATTCACTAGAGGTTTATTGTCAAAAGATAAAATAAGTAGGAAATCACTCAAATTGTTACTTTAGTGAAGGTATATGGAAGCTGAGGACCTTTTTCCAAGCCTCATGTTCATCCTCTATGTGTGGCTATGGGATCCAACAATATAGCCTCTCCCCCCGCCCCCTTTTTTTTTTTTTTAGACAAAATCTTGCTTTGCTTTGCTTCCAGGCTGGAGTGCAGTAGTGCAATCCTAGCTCATTGTAGCTTCAAACTCTTGGGTTCAAGCAATTTTCCTGCCTCAGCCTCCTAAGTAAGTAGTACTACAGGCATGCACCACCACCAAGCCTGGGCTTTTTGAAAACCCTTTTGTTCCTCTGATCTAGACTCACCTACTTCTACCATGAATTCTGTTTTTGTTTGTTTTTGTGTTTTGTTTTTTACTCTCTGAGTCGCCCTTTTTCATTGTTAAACATTGACCATTCTACTGTGTTTTATCTTGAGAAACTGGACCTTCTCTGTGGTCTTTCTCTTAGATTGAATCATCTTGGGGACTACAACTATTGCATTTTATGTGGAGGTTTCCCAAGTAATACTAGAGTTTTGATTTCTCTCAATTTTAAGTTTGCATCTATAGCTCTTTACTGAATAATTTAGATGT